CTGTCCTGGTTACCTTGTTGGTTTATGTGATGTTGATGGAGTACCACGCGGGTGATGAGTGGTACGCCGAAAAAAAATACTTACGCTGTTGTTTTAGTGAGGACTACGGCACATACCTTCTTTGTATATCTCCAGTACAGAAAATATAAATGCACAAATGGCATTGTGTTATCATTCAAAATGGGGCAGAGCATGTGGATAAATGGATTACACTCGCTTACCTTGTAATGATTCATTGACATTATTTTTCATAATATGATCTCGTCAAAGTCCCCTGCATTTGATATGATCGAATCGGCGGACGCTCTGAATGATACCGGCACATGGAGTGGACAGGTGATGGCAGCATCAGATGCCGTCAATTGGAAGCGTTCAGAATAGACAGATATCATACTGAGGTTTTAGACATATAAATGGTTAATCATATTTGCACTATAAAACTTAAGTACTGGCCACCTTCATTTCGATCGGAAATAAGTCATTAGCATCCATCTAACCCTACTTGGTCCGCCTCACAGCCGACACCATATGGTCTGTAACCGGATCACCATTCTTCCGTCGGATTACGCTGTCCACAGAGGCAAGTGGACTCAAATGAGAAAGCAGCATAAGATGATATTGCACAGTCATCATAAATAAGTGTGGACGTAAGCTACTTTCCCTCACACTGTTCCCCTAGACTCATTGCCACAATTAACTCGTCGTTATCAGCACACAAGCTGGTGACTAAGTCTGGACCGGACGGCTTTAACATTGTACGTTCCATATGCAAGTTTTGGAATTTTCATTATTCCATCCCTTGCTTTTCAGTTGATTTTGAATAAACTCCAACAAACATATAACTGACAAAATTGCATCGGTAGAACTTAAGTGAATCTGCAGCACAGTTATATCGTAATAGAAATGAGAGTTAACGCAACAGGGTTGCCAATTAAGTTTTTCACCAAACCCCCGTAACCCTAATGCTTCAAACAAAATTTATTAATAGTGATTTGTTGCGTTCCGTGTGGTAGAATTAGATTTTCAGTGGCCAGGGCAGGTGCTTTTACAACACTGTGGGAAATCAAGCAATTTCAAAAGAAATGTTTATGTTCCGACTATACTTTATGAGAGATAAAGATTCACAATCCGCCACATACTTCTTACTACTGAACCAATATTAGGCAATGTTTTTGGAATTTTTGTATTACAGAAGAATTAGATAGAAATACGGCGAGGAAAGCCTGACATTCTTGTGACAGTTACCATATTAAACCAGGCACGATTTCTGTCTGCCAACACAATTTTAAACCACTAGACTTATTGTATGTTGTGATTTCACATGAAATCTATTGTCTCTTGTCACTACACTGAAAAATGTTAAACTACACCTGTTCCTTGTAATAAAAGTTTGTTGGAAAGTTTGTTGTCATGAGATGACATTGCTAACACTTAACTAGTGGGCTCGGGCTCGGTTCAAGTGTTATGACCAGCCGTTCGGAATCCTCTCCTTTCTTCCCTGGGAGTGTGAAGGCAGAAAAGCGTTGAAGGTGAGGAGAGGGTGGTTAGAGAAAAACAGCTATCAAACTGTGATGATGCACCGACTGCGTCAGATGAGGCGTCTGGGGAGTGAGAAGAAGGTATGGTGAGTGGAGCGAAGTTAACATATTAAATACGATTTGTTTCTATGGGCGAGTAGTATTTTTTTGTGCTATTCAAAAGTGAGAATTTGCTGTCTGGTTAGAAAACTTTTGAGTAGTTCCTATTGGGATTTGTTTGATTTTTGCATTGCTTTTGTCACAACAGAAAAGTCATGTTCAAGTAAACCATTTTGTGAAACAAAATCTTAGCACAACAGGCGGTTCTTAAAAACATTTCGATCATGTATAGTACTCAGAGACTGATTGGCTGTGAGGGGGCTTGCTACTCCTTTTATTCACTGCAAACGATGTGACAGGATGTAAAAATACATTAATGTGGAAACTAGGCTCGGCAGTACATGAACATGTATTTTGTGCTATGTTTTTTAGTTGTTTCAAAGTTAGGATACTCCAGTCTTTAAATTGCAAGTATATATTTTTAGTTGTTTCAGATCAGGATACTCCAGTTTTCAAAATTACCGGTAATATTTTTAGTTGTTAAGATTAGCAGATTTTAAATGGCAAGTATATATTTTTAGTTGTTTCAAAGTTTGTACTCATCATAAAATTACTGGTATATATTTTTTGTTAGTTTCAAGACTTAGGTACTCTCAGCTTTAAATTAGTGGTATCTGTTTTTTGTTGTTTCAAAAGCTTAGGTACTCCAGCTTTAAAGTACCGGGTACAATCAAACATTTGTTATGATGTCCATATTGTTCTCACTATAGTATATATGAGCGTTCTCTGCAACGCCTCCCAAATCTTTAAAGGTTATGAAAACAATTGCTTTATTATTGAAGGTGAACGCTCTCTTCTGTACAGTCTTTCTTGTTTGTTTTTGTTGTTTGTTTTTACATGGGAAGGACATTTTTGTGTGCTCCCAGACCAATAACACCAGCTCGCAGAAGAAGAGGTAAACAGAGAAGAGCTATATGGCAGTGTCTATAGATTGTTCAAAAGCCAAAGTAAACCTGCATTACCGATTTTCATAGTCATTGAAACGCTCCGTGGGTTCTCCATAGATACTTTTTTAATAACATGCACAGACAGCACATTTAAAAGCATTACATTAATAAAAACTGAAGCAAAAGCATTCATCAGACGCAAGAAACACAAATCTAAAACTGTTTGGGTCTGCGATTGACTTTAGATCGCGTGTGTGAAGGTTGCATGCGTCGTCTCCTTGGCCTCATAATACGGATCTGGTGGATAAAGATGGCCTCCTGTGATGTTGTTTTATGCCCCCCAAGAGCTGCGAACGCAACAGAAAAATGCACTGAAAGTAGAGCCGGGATGATTTGTTTCACGCGGTTAGAATCGCCGTCTGTGGGCAACAAGGTCAAGCCACGCTAATACATTCGTCTTCAGGGACAAATGTTAGCAGGTTGTAATTCTGCAGTGTTTAACTTAAGAACGTAATGGATTTACGTTGTGAGGAATCTATTTGCGTGGATTGAAAAATGGCTGTGATAAATGGATTTTCTACATTGTCGTTTAATACAAGATCAATTTATTTGTAATTTATCAATCAGCTGTTGCATGTATTGCTCTTTGATGGCTAAGTCTTATGTGAGGATAACAGATGTTGTGCTTATCATTGCAAACACAAACAACCGTGAAAATCTTTAACAGACCTGAATGAATTCACAATTATGGCCTCAAATGGACCAACACTGTGAGAACAATCCGAGATCAAATAGTCTATTGTAATTATTTTGTCCGTGTAATCTATATTTTTTGTAATGTCTATTAAATGTTGATGTCTTTTTATGTTATTGGGAACTGGTTTGTAAATGATCTTGTTTTTAGTTATATGGCCTATGAACATGGCATTGGTTTCCTGTAACAATGCTTTTGTTCTGTCCCGATTCAAATACAATATAATAGTAAAAAGACATGTTGAAATGTGAGGTTCACAGTTCTTTTCTGAGCTGGTATTTTCTGCATGGGGGGGAGGGTGGTGGGGGGTGGTGGGTGGGGGGTGACATATACGTATGTAATCCTCAGATTTTACGCTGGGTGGTAACTGCACATGGCAAAAGCTCCTGAAAGTGCCCCTCAGGAGAAACCACATTCGGACAGTCGGTCTCCTCGGTCCAGTGGGCAAGCTCTGGACTCTTTAAGCCTCAGCAAAAACTGACTCTGGACTGGGCTGGTTTTAAACATGAAACTAAAAGCAATTTTATAAAACAAAACCAGGTGAGTGAGCATCAAAGAGTTGGAGAACATCTATCTGCTTGTTTAATGTAAATTTTAAAATGGTAGACTGTGTTTTAATTGTGTTAAAAGCCTTCCTAGGGAGACGGGACATGCAATACTAGCCTTGGCTATAAAAGTTTGTAGTGATTCACATGTTGATTGTGTACACTTGTCCCTATCAAATAAATCAATTTAAATAAATAAATTAAAATAAATGTCTACGTATTTCATTGGGACACAAAAGAAGATGGATTTTCTTCTCAGTGCGTGTAGAAGCACGTTTGCCATGACGCATTCAGTGGCCAAGCCCATTGTGATAAGGGAGCGACAGAGAGATGTCAAAAAGATGAGGGAAAATGCCTCACCCTGAGCAAATTCCTCACTAAAAATACAGTATGCCACATGAAGGAAGACCAGACCTTCAGATTCAACGTTCATTAACCATTCGCACAATAAGAAATTGTATAAAACAAATCCAAATACCTAAATGTAACAATACCAAGTGCGCACGGTGGGCACTGAGAAGATAGGCACTTTTCTCGGCCTGCTCAGCAAAACCCAAGAAGGTCATGGGTCGGAATCCCGGTCCGGACAGGCCCTTTCGGAGTGGAGTTTGCATGTTCTCCCCCATGTCTGCGTAGTTTCCCCGGGTCTCCGGTTTCCCCTCCACGAAAAAGGTAGGTACAATAGGTCTGGCATGCGCCGCCTGTTACTGGCGACCCGCTTGTCCCATCTCTGTGGAGGATGAGTGGAACAATGCCCAAAAAAATAATAACAATTGTAAACGCTTTGTGACTGTGGTCTGTGAAAGGCGGAATATAAAATAACGATAACTTATTACTTAAGTAAAAAAAGCAGAGATGAGCTTTAATCAGGAATCCATGATCCTTGTCTTGCTACACAAATGTCTTTGTGAAGACCCCTCATATAAGGCCATGTTTTCAACTAAACTGTTTAATATTAATGGGCCTGGGCAGCTCCTTTCCCCACCCCATTTTCCACACTTCACCCCCGATTAACCTCACTCCCTTTTTCATCCTCCATCATCCACTCTATTACTACATTAACCTTCAACAAAACCTCACATCCCCGTCACTTAAAACACCTCCCAAAAACATAAAAAACATTTTCCCTCCCTCACCCCCCCCACATACTTCAATCACACATACAACAAACAAAAACCTACATACCAATCACACCAAAAAACCGCATACCCCCCCCCATCCCACCATAGACCCCATCACCCACACCTACCCACCACACTCAACACCCTACTCTCACTACCACCTTCACACTCCTTCCAATCTCCCCCTACATCTCCCTCACTCCAACACAAAAAACACACTCTCTCGCACTCTAATAATGTGTGTCATACCTCTACATATACCCCCCTTCCCAAAACCCAACCCCCCCCCACCCCACAACAAACTTCCTCTCTCCCACCAACCAAAACACCCCCCCCCCCCCCCCCCACCCCACTCCCACACCCCCCCCCCCCCCCCCCCCCCCCCCCCCCCCCCCCCCCCCCCCCACATAACCCCACCACCCCAACCCCCCCAATCAACAAATACTCTCTCTACTCTCTCACATGAGTGGAGTATATGTCCTCACCAACACCCTCACCCTCACTCTCCCACACAGTATAAATACATCAAACAATCACACACTACACACATCCCCAAAATATAACATACTCCACAACACCCAACCCACCACACCACATCATAGTACTTCCCTCTCCCTTACCCCCACCCCACCCTCCCAACCCCCCCTACTTCCCAAAACTACATCACCAATACACCACGTAAAAAACCACCACCAAACTTCCCAACATCCAATCACCCCCTCCATCCGCGCGCACACTCTCTCACACTCTCTCTCTCTACAACTAATCCCCCCATCCAACACCCTATTTTACACCCCTTCCAAATATACACTCTGTCACCTTCAAATTACCCCCCCTCCACCAATATTAAAACCAACCTACCCTACCCTACCACAACAACCAAATCACTCCATGTGCTCCCTCTACCACCCCCCCTCTTCAAACCCAATAACAACCTATAATCAGCGCAATTTACCACACACCAGATGTTTCTAGTTACTCTACCCCTTCTTCCTCCCATCCCTCCACAATCTCACAACAAAAAATAGTGGTGTGTGTGTGTCTACTTCAACCCACTTCATTTTTTACAATACCACCCCACACCCACCTGTGTGTGTACTTCAAACCAACCCCAACATATATATATACTCACAACCCACCAAACCCACCCCACAATATACATCATATACAACATACCCCCAACCCAAACCCAACCCCCCCCCCCCCCCACACCCAACCCCACCCACCACCCCCCACCACCCCCCCACCACCACCCCCCCCCACCCCAACATCATTTCACATCCAAACTTTTCTTCCAAATACCTAACAACCCCCCCCCCCCCCCCCCCCCCCACCCCCCATACCAACCCCCTAGAGATAGATATATACCCCCACTACCCCCTCAAACCACTTACACACAACCCACTCCCCACCAAACCACCACCACAACCCACCCCACCCCACCCCACCCACACCATCCCCCCCCCACCCACTCACATGCTGCTAAAACCCCCCAGTACCACCCCCCCCCAACCACCAACATCCCACCCCCAACCCCCCAGATTCATGCTGCTAAAATCTGGAACAGTCTTCATGAAGATGTGAGACAGGCCTCCTCGCTGACAATGTTTAAAACCAGGTTAAAGACAGTTCTGAAAGCGGGATATGCTTTACACATTACGTCCGTGACGTGACTTTCTGTATCCGGTGAGCGTGTTTCTTGACTACTATCACTCTGCTCTCTGTTTGCACTAACAAACACATTACAAATCCACGTATTGTACACCAAGCTAACTGTGTAAGCACTCTGAGTCAGCTGTACTGCAGCTGAGGTTTAGGTAGCGGTTGTTTGACTGCTCGAGTTGCCATACGGCGAGTCTAATCCCCGGATCCTTCTCTGAGGGTAGTGATAGATGTGTGAAGTGTAGTGTAGTCGTAGCTCTGGAATCCAGGGTCAGTGAGTTCGAGCTGCGTCTCCGAGCACTGGAGTCTCGGAGACGCAGCTAGCGCTAGCATTAGCTACAGCCAGGCCGTATCCTCAGGGACAGCGGAGCGCAGCTTTAGGGAAAGGCAGAGGAGAACTAGCGAGCCTAGCCTCCCAGCCCGTCCTCCGCAGCTGGGACAAGACCAGGATAGTGATGGCTTTGTGACTGTTCGGAGAGGGCCACGTGTTGTTGGTAGTTTCCCCATTGGGCCTCCTCCTGTTAGCATTTACAATCGACGCTCTGTCCGGCTGCGCGGCCGGGCGGGGAAGAAGGCCCCACTGAAAGAGCCGCTGAGAGATCTGCTGAGAGAGCCGATGGAGTCGCTGATGCGCTGGTAATTGGCTCCTCTATTGCTAGAGGTGTTAAGATCCCAGGAGCCACTGTTCGGTGCTTCCCTGGGGCCAGGCTTGGTGATATTGAAGGGAATCTGAGGCTCATGATGACCCACAAGCAGCGTTTCCGTCGAATTGTTATTCACGCGGGTGGAAATGACGTTCGGCGGAAACAGTCCGAGGTGTTGAAGCTGCAAGTCGCCGCTGTGTGCAAGCTGGCTAGCACAATGGCCGACACTGTCATCTTCTCTGGGCCCCTACCTAGCACTAGCAGTGCAGAAGCATTCAGCAGACACTCGGCTTTCAACCGCTGGCTGTCTGGCTGGTGCCCTCGAAGTGGTGTTGTTCATGATGTTGTTCACAATTGGAGTGCCTTTTGGGGAAAGCCCGGTCTCATCCGCTCGGATGATATCCACCCAACGTTGGCGGGTACATCCCTTTCGGCTAAGAATTTGGCCCTGGCTCTAAACTGTTCTGCCCGGCTCAAATGACGGTGCAGAACTGAGGCCCGGGTGCAGAGCTGCTCTGCCACAACCTCTGAGCCCCCATCTGTTCAGTTACTAGCCTCAGAAGCTAGTCAGATTGAAACTGTGTGTGCATGTGTGTGTGTGCCTGTGTGTGCTCAGTTACTAGCCTCAGAACCTAGTCAGATTGAAACTGTGTGTGCATGTATGTGTATGCCTGTGTGTGCTCAGTTACTAGCCTCAGAACCTAGTCAGATTGAAACTGTGTGTGTTCCTCGCTTGAAGTCTAAAGCACTATATGCGAGGAAATCTGACCTGGGTGTCAGACACAGTAACTTAATAAAAGTTCAGACAGACAGAAATAGTTCTAAAAGTAGGGTTGTTAAATGTGGATTAATGAACGTCAGATCAATCTCGTCTAAATCGCTTCTCATAAACAAACTTATTATAGACAAAAACTTGGATTTGTTTGCGCTCTCGGAGACTTGGCTCCAACAAGACGACTACGTTAGATTGAATGAGAGCACTCCTCCGACGCATGTTAACTACCAGAAAGCGAGAACTACAGGTCGCGGCGTTGGTGTTGCGATTATATCACACACCAACTTGGTTCTTAGTCCCAAAACCAACAATGTTTTTTACTCGTTTGAAAATTTAACACTTTCAATCACCTGTCCTGGGTGGAGAAAACAAAAAGCGGTGCTATTTATAGTTTTATACCCACCTCCTGGTCCTTCCTAACAGAATTCTCTGACTTCATTTCAAACCTACTCCCACTAATCACTGCTGTCGTTGTGTCCTTGGGCAAGACACTTAACCCTACTTTGCCCAAAGCCCCCACTGAAAGATCTCAGCTCGAGTGGACTCACCACCTGCAGGAGGATCAGTGAGGGGCTGGTGCTATGTGTACTGAGTGCAGCTCTGACTGCCACCCCCCCGACCCAGAAATGGATTAAGGGGAAGAAAATGGATGGATGGATGGATGGCATTTCAAACCTAGTTTTGGAATGGGAAAACAGTTATAACTGGAGACTTCAATATACAGACAGCACTGACAGCTTAAACAAAGCTTTCAGCGCCGTACTAGATGGTGTTGGTTTTACTCAGAATGTTGAGGAACCTACTCACATTCATAACCACACCATGGATCTTGTCCTGACCTACGGCTGTGATGTCTCCAATGTTGACGTCCAGCGTCAAAGCTCGTTGCTGTCGATTTTCCATTTCTTGATCACGTTTGATCTCGATTTGGAGGACTTTCTTGCGCCGCAAGATAAAACCATAATGAAAAGAACCTTAAATGATAAATCTGTCACAAGGTTCAAAGAACTAATACAGCCAATGTTGAATACTGCTGCAGGTGAACCTGTTCACAGCTGCTGCAGTCCCTCAGTCATTGACCAAACGGTGGACAACACTATGGAGTCTTTAAAATCTGCATTAAATGCAGCAGCTCCTTTAAAACAGAAAACCATTAGGATTAGATCATCGTCGCCCTGGTACAGTGTTCAACTCCACACTTTAAAACAGGACGTCAGAAAATTGGAGAGGCTATATCGCCACTCCCACTCTGAGCCTGTCCACAGGGAGTGGAAAGCAGATCTCCGAAACTACAAGAATGCCCTTCGCAGGGCTCGACCTCAATACTATTCAACTTTAATAGAAGCCAATAAAAATAACAGTAGATTTTTGTTTAGCACCGTCGCTAAACTCACAAACTGCCATTGCGCAATCGAGCCTAAAATTCCAAGCTCACTGAGGAGTGTCAACTTCATTTCTTTAATAATAAAATTACATCCATTCGTGACAAACTGGAGGAGGTTACTCCTGCTGTTGGTAGTGGACAGGCTGAAGCGGCATACTTGACTTCCCACTTAGACTCTTCAGTGGGCCTCGATAAATTCATGGCTGTGAGCCAAGCAGAAGTGATCTCTGTGGTCACATCCTCAAAAGCCTCAACTTGCATGTTAGACGCAATCCCGACTTGGCTCTTCAAAGACATACTTCCTTTGATAATTCAGCCTATCGTAAATATAATAAACGCATCCATACAATGTGGCTATGTCCCACAAGCTTTTAAAACCGCGGTAATCCAACCCATTCTGAAGAAAACAAACTTGGAAAAACTTATAGCTGAGCAGCTTTGCTGCCACCTGCAGGAAAATACTATGTTTTAAGTCTTTCAATCAGGATTCACAGCTCATCATAGCACTGAAACGGCACTAGTCAAAGTCACAAATGACTTACTACTAGTTGCTGATAATGGACAAGTGTCAGTGCTGGTCCTACTGGACCTTAGTGCTGCATTTGACACAATAGACCACAGCATTCTACTGCAGAGGCTAGAATGTGATATAGGTCTTAGAGGAACAGCCCTTGGCTGGTTTAAATCCTATTTATCAGATCGGTATCACTTCGTCAACGTAAATCAGAACTCGTCGCCCTATTCTGGAGTGGAATTCGGTGTGCCGCAGGGTTCCGTACTCGGACCGATTTTTTTCACTCTCTACATGCTGCCGTTAGGAAACATTATTAAAAAGCATGGAATTAATTTCCACTGCTATGCAGATGACACACAGCTTTATCTGTCGATGAAGCCAAATCAGACGGATCAGCTAGAAAAGCTCAGTGCCTGCATAAAGGACCTTAAAATGTGGATGACTCTTAACTTCCTACTTCTCAACCCGGAGAAGACAGAAGTGATCCTACTCGGTCCAAAGCGCCTGCGTGACTCCCTTACTAACCAGATAATCACTCTCGATATTGTCAGTATTATACCCAGTAACACTGTGAGGAATCTTGGAGTCATTTTTGACCAAGAACTCTCCTTCAAGGCTTATATAAGCCAAGCAACTAAAACGGCGTACTTCCACTTACTCTCTAAATCTCTAAAATCAGGAATTTCCTTCCTAAAAGTGACGCGGAAAAACGTATTCACGCTTTTGTCACCTCACAAAACGCCGGACGTCAGGTGGTTCCTTAGGTCTCAAAAATCACTGTTGGCGGCAGAGCATTTAGCTACCAAGCTCCTTTATTGGTGGAGGAGGAGAGGACAGTTGTGTTTGATCACAGTGAGGTTCAGTACCTGCCCACTCCTGCGGAGGTAGTCCCAGAGCCAGCAGGCTGGTCCTAGACTGAGGACAGAAACAGAAACATCAGACCAGAACAAGGCCAGTGGGTCTCGAACTGAGGCGCAAGGGACAGATTCAAGACATCTGTCATCATCATGACTTCAGCTGTAGTCTGTTCACTGCGATGATGGGACCCCTGAACCTGCACCTGATCTGGTCTCCGCCCCAGACTAGTACCCCCTCCCCACCTGGGAGTCACCTCAGTCCTGGATCTACAGCCTTAGTCCTGGATCTACAAGCTCAATCATGGATATACTAGCTCAGTCCTGGATCTACAGCCTTAGTCCTGGATCTACAAGCTCAATCATGGATATACTAGCTCAGTCCTGGATCTAGAGAAATATACTTCACCATGAGCACTTCCCTAGAGGGCTTCATTGAGCATTGTCCATCAGTATACAGTCTGTGGCTGAATGGGAGTGAGAGTACTCTTGTTTTGCACCTGCTCTCCGCAGAGGAGGAGAGCAGGTGCAAAACAAGATTACATGATCTCCATGGTATGAGGTAGGAGGAGATCCTTCTCTGTATCCCATCTCCTCCTCTGAACCTGATCTCCTCCCCTTTACCCAATCTCCTCTCTACCTGATCTCCTCCTCTGCTGTGTGGTAGCTCCAGTTGATGGGTTCGTTCGTTGGGAGGAAGACGTCGTCAAACGTCGACAGAGAAAAGTTAACTTTGATTCTGTGGCAGGGTTTAAAGTCCACCTCCTGAAAAACAGAGCACAGGAACAATCATAGAGCACTCAAGATTACTGACACACAGGGACAAAACACCTCTGAGGTCAGTTCTGATGACACTAAGCAGTTATAAGTGACATTTATGATGAGCCACACAACACAAAAACATTCTGTGTAGCAGATGTAAGTGTACTTTGTACCAACTACAATACTTCTAAACTGATCATTTAAGTATATAATTATTTCATATCAATGAAAAGTGAATAAAGACAACATGGTCATTACTCGATCATAAATCACAAACAGGAAACAGGAAGAGAAACGGAAAACTTAACAACGAGGTCATCGCTGAAGTTATTAGTAGCACCAAGCATTGTACTATAAACGCATTTCGTCTGGCACGATTGAGAGAATAAACTCTTGTGACCGTGGGCCGTCATCACACCCCTGTGGCCTAGATAGTTTTTTTTGTGTGTGTGTTAAATGAGTGACTGTGGCTCAAGACATTTGTAGGTAGGCAGAAGTTATCTTGTTTTATGTACAGAAAAGAGGGAAAAGGAAAGAGAAAGTGCATATATACATACATATTATTTTTTTATTATCTTTATTTATCAGACTCAAAGTCCATAAAAAACAAACAAACACATAACAAACACAACAGACAAACAGTTATAAAAGAAAACTGTACCAGAGCTTCCACAGAGCTGACTGGTAGCGCACAGAACTCATACTGGGGTTCACCAGAGACCGCACAAAATAGTTCTCACTGACATTCAGACGGCATACATCATATTTCTCATGAGAGCATGGAAAGAGTTCACACGACTCTGACAGAACAGCAGACTAGCACTCCTGGACCTGGGCTTTTTCAGCAGAATCCTGAAGGCATCATTATATGCAACTTTGAGCTTCTGTAGTGCAGCCTTCTTATATCTGCTCCACAGTGGAGCTGTATACAGAGGTGAACATTACATTTTAAACAGTTTAATTTTAACATCGACTGTGCACATGTGAAATTTCCGCACTAAGGTGTTGGTTTGAGTGTACAGTTTACGACACTGGCGATTAATGTCATCATCATCACAGAGTCGGTCAGTTATGATGTCACCCAAGTATTTAATTTTGCTGCAAACACCCATCTTTTGACCAGATAAGTAAAAGTCTGGAAAACAAAGATGTTTGTCCCCTTTGGTGCGGCTGATTAGTACAGCGCTCTTTTTGGCATTATATTGAATATCATGCTTGACCCCATAATCAGAGCATACATTCAAAAGCTGCTGAAAGCCAGCACTACTCGGGGAAAGAATGGCCAAATAATCGGCATACATGAAATGGTTGACCAGTGTGTCACCGATCATGCAACCAGTTCTACAGCCATTCAAACACTGGGACAGGTCATCCATGTACAGGTTAAATAGGAGAGGGGACAACAGCCCACCCTGACGCACTCTGTTATTGACGCCAAAGGCAGCTGAGATGGTATTACCCCACTTCACCTGCATCTGCTGAATACCAGGAGGTCAATATTCTTATTATGCTATCAGGCACATTCCTCTCTTTGAGTTTTCCAAAAAGCCTACAGTGGTTCACGCGATCAAATGCCTTGGATGCGTCAATGAACCCTAATAAGACAGAAGAGTTTTGTCTTAAATACGACTGTGCAGTCTCCTTAAGACTAAAAATGCATAGATCTGTCCCCAACTTGGATTTAAATCCAAATTGGTTGTCTGTTGTTCTTATGCAGTGACTCAAGCGACCCATCAATATCTTCTCAAGGACTTTAGATATCACACTAGCTAAAGCTATCGGCCTGTAGTTATCCAAACTCCCAACTTTGCCAGCCTTATCCTTGATGACAGGCACTATAGTGACAGACAGTAACGAGTCAGGAAGAAGCCCATGGGTCATGAACCCGGGGAAGCATAATGCCAGCAGTACAGCAACTCTTGGACTGGCATATTTCAGGTGTTCTGCCGTGATTTTGTCAGGGCCAGTAGCCTTGTTGTCAGACAGTTGAGCAATTGTTTCCTGGACTTCTCGTGGTGTAATAGTCACTACATCCCGATCATCCAGATTACCCACTTTATAGGGCTCACTTTGCACACAATTGAAAAGTGCAGAGTAGTGCTGTCTCCATAGTTCAGCTATGCCTTCATCCCCAGACACTCCCTCTACAGCACTGCGTGTTAACTCTGTTTAGAGCTCGGACTTCATTCCAAAAACTAGCAACGTTGTTGGAAAGTAATGTTTCAGCCATAGAGTCTGCTCTCATGTTCTGTTCACATTTTGTTACATGGCGAATGGCATATTTATACCGTGCGTTGGTTAACCTTTTATACTCCAGGGCAGGCCCTGCTCTGGGTTTGCCAGATTGTGCCCATGCCTTATGTGCTTTTTTGGCCTCTGCATGATGGACTGCAACATATTTGTTCCAGCCTGGCTTAATGTTTCCCCTTTTCAAATCTGTAAGGTAGGGACCACTGCTCTTGTAAACAGCATCAACAATACATTCATACATCACACAAAGGTCTTTACAGTGGGAAGTATCATTACAGTTAACATCTGTGCACATTGTAGCATGATTAGGGAAATGTATATTGCTTAGAGCAGCGTCAGTTCTCAACCAATATGTCCTGATATCATTTTGTGATAGTTTGCACCATTCCACTTTAGCCTTCGAGACCAGAGCTACTCTCTGAGTCAACTCCGGAAGACTGTTCACATTCAGACGCATAACAAATGGGACATGATCTGAGATAGAATGCTCATACAATATTTCCATAGTGTTCAGAACAGCATGTGCATCAGCAGCGGTAATACAATGGTCCAACCATGATGTCGTGTGCCATGCATCACTTATATAAGTGTAGCTGTCAGACGGTAAAAGTTGCCTACTGGACACCACAAAGTTATTGTCATCACAAAACTGTAGCATATGCCTAGCAAATAAGGATTGACCATCTGAAATATCCGCATTCATGTCACCCACCACAAAAAAAAGATGTGGACTCATATTCACTGATGAACGAACTGATAAAACCAAGTCTATTCAGATACTCATCTTCATTCTGTGGGCTCTCATAGGGAGTATAAACGTTAAGAATAACATCCATCCAACCATCCATTTTCTACCTTTTAATCCATTTCTGGGTCAGGGGGGTGACAATCAGAGATGCCACCCAAGTCTCATAGCACCAGCCCCTCACTGACCCTCTGCAGGTGGTGAGTCCACAGGAGGACGGCTGCTCTCTGAGTGTGAGCATAGCCTTGATCTTTCAGTGGGGGCTTTTGGGCAAAGTGGGGTTAAGTGTCTTGCCCAAGGACACAACGACAGCAGTCATCAGTGGGAGTTGGTGGAGAAGGTGCAGAGGTGGGAATTGAACCCACGACCTTCTGGGCTTAAGGCCAATGCTCTACCAACTGAGCTACTGTCGCCCCTATTTGTTAAGAATAACAAAGTTTCTCTTTTCCAACTTTAAGTGTAAAGC